TATATATATATGTGTGTGTGTGTATTTGTATATATTATCCTGTGATTCTACTTATGGTTCCTCTGCTGCATTGAAGATCTAGGAGCATAAAAGCCTTGTGTCCCTCATGAACGGTGGCTCTAATGCTGCAGAAAAGTTATCAATAGGCAGTCTGGTCCTTCATTGATCTGGACTATCCATGGCTTCATTGTAAGTGATTATCCTTTTGGGATCTAGAGGGAAATTTAAAACAAATAAAAATAAGGTCTGGAATCTCAAAACATCCATGATCCAAAAACAAATTCCAAGAATCATTTAAATTGCTCCCCTTCTTGTTACAAGACAATTCAACAGCCATTTCTTCTTTGTAATCATGATTCAGTTTATCCCTTATTTTCTACAGTGCTTTATTCTCAACAGAATCAAAAGCATGTGCCCAACATGTGCAAGGCCCTGAGTTCAATACCTAGTGTCACATCAAAGATAAATGAAATAAATTCTAAGGAATGTCTTGAGTTCAAAATACAAAACAGTCAGAAGGTGACCAGACAAAGACTGTAGAGCTATTCTAAAAGGTTATTCTAAATTCCTGTTATTCCTGAGGCAGAGACAGGAGGACTGAAAATTCAAGCCCAGCCCAGGGAATTTAGTAAGACCTCCATTTCCCAAAAAAGGAGGGCTGGGGCATTGCGAAGGTATTCAGTGTGAAGACGAAGACTGTGGGTTCAACCCCTGCTACCACAAAACAAAAAAATGGAGTGGGGGAAGTAAAGAGACAGTGTTACAAAATTAGGGGACCCTACATTCTAGTCCAGCCAATTTATATAGAAACCTCTGAGGCTCTCATTTCCCAAATACATAAGAGATTAATATACTTCTAGTACTGAAACTATAAAATTCATTCATTTAAAATTCACTTAATCTACAAAGGAGATGAGGAATGGATATAATTTTATCACAGGGTTCTGAAAACCCAAGATCTTTTTTTTTTGGAGTCAGGGGTTCACTATGTAGTATAGGATAACCTTGAAGTCACAACAATTCTCCCATTTGGTTCTCTGGTATTACAGGCATGCACCACCTAGCCCAGTTTGAAAACACAACTACAGTCAGCAACTAGCTCTCCAACCAAAAATTTGGTATTCCATACCTATCAACATTTAAAAACTTATTGAAAATTGCAAATCTGCACATGGAATATCCCACTCCCTCTGTCCTCCTGTGCTAGTTACATTTTTCTTAAGGGAAGGTGAAAAGCTAATCTGAATTCTTTATATTTCTTTTCTTTTCTTTTTTTTTGGAGACAGGGTCTCGCTATGTAGTTGAGATTGCCCTGGTACTCACTATGTAGCCCAGGCTGGTCTCGAACTCACAGTGATCCTCCTGCCTCAGCCTCCTCTGAGTGCTGGGATTACAGGTGTGCGCCACCACGCTCGGCCAATTCTTTATATTTCTAATGTTCTCAGAATATACAGCCCTACTACAGCTAATACGTTTATGAACTGTAAATTTAAGTTCTTAGGCTATCCCTTGTCTACCATACAATATTACAAATAGCAACTGGTCAAAGTAGAAACAATTATTCATGTTGGTTTCTTAGATGAAAAGCACACACCTTTTTTTTTTTTCCTGGCAATGTTGTGGATTGAACCTATGGCCTGGTACATGCTAAACATGCACTACTACCAAGCTATGCCTTTAGCTGCTTCTTTTTTTTTTTGTACTGGGGATCGAACTTGGGTCCTTGCGCTTGTGGGGCAAGTGGTGGAACCACTGAGCTAAATTCCCGGATTGCCTTTAGCTTCTTGTCTCATTTTCATAACCACAATGGAAGAACCATTCACGTTTTTTTCCCAGCAGGCAAATTTATTTTCATATGTTCTTTTTAATTACAGTGTTAACCACTAAGAAGTCCTAGCCCTGTAGCGAGCCTTTTGACTGTAGTTAACACAAAAACAATGTAAAATGATTATTGATTAGTACATTTCAACTACTCCAATCATTCTTACCTTGCTTCTGCAAATTCCAAATAGATTCCATTTCTACAAAAAACAAAAAAGGATTATTTTAAAATTCTGAGTGAAAAATGCTATATTTCTCAAATTGGTTCATTGCTATTTAAACACACACACACACACACACACACACACACACACACACACAAAAAAAACTTCTTGGTAATCCAGCATTCTTCAGTAAGGTTTCCAAATCTTTTGAATAAAGAATTCATCAAATTTGATCAGTTACATTAACGCTCAATAGTTTTAAGCACTCAGGCAAGCGATTCTGACTTCTAAATCATACACCTCCTATTTTAACCCTTAAAATAAAAAATTCCAATTAATACCCATTTATTAATGACACATAATCCTTATTTACTGATTTCATTCCAAACATCTACAATACACTTATTACAGCATCTTATAAAAAAGGAAATGTGATATATGGCCAAAACAAAATGACATACAGAAAGAAGGCAGTAAGAATTCTACCTAGTTATACAAAGTCTTGATGGGTAGAGACTAGATGACTATTACACAGCAGGAACCAAAGAAAGGAAATACTACACTAGGACATCTACTCAGTGAAAGGAATACATTAAAACCTAGACCAAGGATAAGTATATTTTTTCATGGCAATTACAACTATCATTTTGAAAGGATGAAAAGATTTTATTCTCACTGGATTCAATGTAATTCTAATCAAATTGATCAATAACCAAATATAAATTTTAGAAAAATAAAACAAGCTCATTAAGATGAAACCTATGTGGACAAGAGTTATAGTTAAGGGAAAACATAATCCCTCCCCAGGTGTAAAGAAATTAAATGCGTGGACATAAAATTATAAACTGAATCTGGGGATAATGTGCGAACTACTACTTGGTCATACTTAGTTATTAACTCTCTGCATAGATCCCTATCCAAAGGAGGAAAATTCCCTTATCTTTGAGGTCTAAAAGGGGGAAAGGAATCATAATTAAATCTGAAAAAATAAGACATACCAGGAAGAGAATTCTATCACTCCAACACTCTTTTGGAAGTGGGGATCAAATTCAGGACCTTGCACTTGCGAGGCAGGTGACAGAATCACTGAGCTAAAATCCTCAGCCCTCCAATACTATTTGTAACTTCATTAGTTTTGGAGAATGAGAAATAGGTGAAGGAACAGTCTACCTTTAAGAGCTGTTATCCTATAAATTTCATCTCAAAATGGTGCTGCCTTTTTGGTTGGGCCAGTGGCTTTGGAGTTGACCTCAATCTGAATATAAGCTGAACTGCAAAATGAGCAATTTCCCTTCCTTGTTATTTAACCCTGCACTTGCAAGGCAGTCATGGTGCCACTGAGCTAAATCCCTGGTTCCCAAAAACCATTTTTGCAGTGTCAGGGATTGAACCCAGGGCAACTACATGTTAGGCAAGTGCTCTACCAAAAGCTACATGCCCAGCCCTCCTTTATAAAAATTTAAATTTCCTTGAAACTTAAACAAGATGAAAAATTTTAAAAAAGGAAATAAATTAAAATAGTTTGGTTATATGCCATGCTTAAACAACTCTACTAAAAAAGTAACAAAGTTAACAGTGATAGAAAACATAGAAGAGCACTGGTATTACATTTTGTCTGCTCAGATTACAAGTCTCAATTCATTTTGTATATGAAACACATTACTGTGTATAACAATGTTTTTTAACTATCTCAAGAAAAGCTAAAAAGTACAAAGTTAAAGAAGGTACTTTTAAGGATAAAAAAATCCTTATATAATAAATTTAAGACTACCCTCCTCTCTCCACATACAAGTCAAATCTTTAACTTGCCAGTTCTTTTTTAGAAAGAGATCACAGCATCCAAATATGCAACGTTACTGTAAAATGCCCAAAGAGCCAAACCAGGTAATGTAAGTAAAGGTTTGTGCCAGAAAGATACAAAGTAGGCAATTATGTCAAAATTTTTTATTTAGACCACTATCATCCAATTTGAAATTTTATTAGTTCAAACCTCTAGGGCCAGGCACAGTTATTAAAACACCTATTTTGGAGGTTGAGGTAGGATACCAAGTTTGAGGCCAGTCTTGGAAATTTTTTGGAACCCTGTCTCAAAATAACTTGAGGGCTGAGGCTGTATTCAGTGGTACAGCACTAAAACATTTGTCCTACCACGTACAAGGGAGGACTTAGGCTTAATTCCTAGCAAAAGAGAATGAAAAGAGAGAAAAGGAAAGAAGGGAAAGAGGAAAGGATAAAAAGAGCACTCCTATAAGCTTACACTAGACAGCTACGTTGGGAAAATGGGTTCTAAAGCAAAAACATGAACAAAGACTGGTGGTATTAAAGAACAAGGTGTGCTAGGAGTCATAAACCAGCTCACTTGGTTTCTTAACTATTATATGCTTTTGCAAATTAAGTGTTATCAGGACACAGCAAGGCACAACAGTTCATAAGGCCTAAAATATTTACTATGTGGCTCTTTTATTACAGTATGTTAACCAAGCCATAACATTAGTGGTAGATTTAGGGGAAGAACACTGTTTAGGGGAAGTTTATTATTATACTGATGAAAGGAAGTGACTGAAGAAATCTGAGGTCACTATTTTTAAATATTAATGATTCCTCAAAGTTTTAAGAGAATGAAGTGACATCAGAGATAGGCCAATAAATGTTGTAACAAGCCAGATGTGGTGGTGCACACCTGAAATCTCAGCTGCTCAGGCAAGAGAATCAAAGTTCAAGGCCTGCCAAGGTATCTTAACAATACAGTCTCAAAATATTTTTAAAAAGGGAAGGGATTTAGTTCAGTGGTGCCATTCCTGCCTCCAAGTGCAAGGTCCTGAGTTTGATCCCCATTACCAAAACTAAGTAAGTAAATAAATACGAAGTAGGTTTTCAAAGGGCTGGGAATGCAATTCAGAGGTAGAGTGCTTCTGGGTTCCACTCCCAGCACTATAAGCGGGGGATGCATGACAGTAAAGAAATTAGCTGGCCATGGTGGCACATACTTATAATCCCAGCACACTGGAGACTGAGTCAGGAGGATCACTGTGAAGTTTGAGGCCAGCTGGGCTACAACAGCAAGTTAAGGACAGCCTGAACTGCCTAGTGAGACCCTATTTTTTAAAAAAAGATATTAAGATAGCTGTATCAAAGATGGAAAAGAAAAAAGAGATGCTTAAACACTGTATCCATACATGATAAATTAGGTTAGTATTCTCTTGAGAGGGAAAAGAGCAGGCTTTAGAGAATGAATTCAACTTTAATGTACAGAATTAGAGTGATGTCCTTTTTTTTTTTGGTACCAGGGATCAAACTTAGGTCCTTGCGTTTGCAAGGCAGGCAGCAGAACTAAGCTAAATCCCCGGCCCCAGAATTAGAGTGATGATGTTGACAGTGTGGTCTGAACACAATAGAGTAATAGCTAAGTATTAATGTTTAATATACAGCAAAAGAAATGGATGAGATTACCCAGGTAAGTTTGTGTAGCATGCAAAAGGGACTCAAGGAACATCAACATTTGACCAACAGAATATACCAAGGTTATATTAAAGATGTAGGACTTCAACTTGCATCCCACTTGCCTCAGCTTCCCATGATCAACTGTCTACGACTACTATCATTCTATTCCTTTGAAAGCATAAAACTGAAAGTGACCATTGTTCAAACATTTCACTGTATTCTCACTGCCTAGAAGAGCCCATGTAGCTGAGACTGGATTTGTGTCTTGCTTAAAATTTATTTCTAGCACTTAACACAGTAGTCTGACATCAACAAGTAAGATGCCTAAGTTAAAGGTTTTTAAAAGCCTACCATTTACCTTCCTAGTAAAAAACTGAATGGCTATCAATTTTCAAATCTTTCTCCACCTAAATAAAATATCCTGGGATACAATAAATAGGGTAAGTTTCACTTTTTGAAATCTTACCATTTCTCACTTTCTCCTAACCTTAGGGATTACAACAGCAATTTACATATTTTTCTACAGAGCAACCATACTAGTAATGTAATTCTTTCCATGTATGCGACCCTATTAGCCTAATGTGCATACTTGCCTTTCATCTGTTTATCACTTCTTCCCATAATGTTTGGTATGGATTTGAATAGAATACTTATATAACAGCCAGGAAACAATATAAAGTAGAACTAAATAGACCCCATATGACATTGCTGACATTCATCTGTTTTTGACCTACAAAAACAGCAATTTTGTTTGTTCCAAATCAAATAGACTCAGTACTTAATTCTAAAATCTCTTAAAGAAAAAGACTGAAACTAAGGGGGCCAAAACCAACCTGAAACTTGTTTTTAAAAACTAAACAATTATGTCATTGTCTCAGTTCAACAGAACATTTCATCTAAGCTGGACATGGTGGTACAATGCCTGTAATTCCAACACCAAGAGGCTGAGGCAGGAGGATTGTTGTGAGTTCAAGAACAGCCTAGGCTACATAGTGAGTTCCAGGTCAGTCTCAACTACATAGTGAGACCCTGTCTCAATAAACTAAAAACAAGAAATAAAAAATTTTAAAACGTTGGGCTGTAGCTCAGTGGAAAGGCCCTGTGTTCAGTCCCCAGTACTACAAAAACAATCACTATCTAAATTAAGTCCTCAATATGTGTAAGGTCCCTCAGAAATAGAAAATAAGCCAAATATAAGCCCAAATAAGCTGACTTCCATATCTGAGAACCCCAAATCAACTTCACACTCATCATGCCCTCCCAACCTCTTAAGCCACTTAATACCAAATTCCTTTAAATTCAAAGATGGTGACATGGTAAACTTAGAATTTCTGTCCTTTTCCTCCTAATCCAGATTTACCCATCTTTTCATGATAGGCTGTCACAATGCCATTTTATTATTCTGATTTTCTTTTCTGGTATTGGGGATCAAACTCGGGACCCTGAATTTGCAAGGCAGGTGGTGGCATCACTGAGCTAAATCCCTGGCCCATGATGTTTTCTTAATCAGTCTACTATATATAACCTGCCTATTCCTTTACACAGACATCTTCCAGAAACGTCTCTCATTCTACCCTTTCAGTTTGATTATAACA